CACACACACACACACACACACACACACACACACACACACACACACACACACACACACGAAAGCAAGAGAAACCCCATACGAACGCACAAACAAGCAAATCAAAGAGATCTGGGGAATTGCTGAGGGTGGAAGGTGTTCCAGTAGTCAACTGGGGGCTGTAGCCAGGACAACACTGACTCGGAGCTGGGGTGGGTCACGCCACCTTGTAACTCAGAATGTTGGGGGTGCGAGGCCTTGTAGGGGCTTGGTTTTAAGAACACGACAGCTAGGGTTGGTTTCGGTTTGGTCTGTTAGTGTCATCCAAAGTGTTGGTATTCTGCAGGTTTCCTTGGGGTGGGGTTGGAAGTTGTGCATGATTCTTCTCGAGCTTTCGCTGTCAATTCTCCGCCGAAGCCGGGTAATGGCCCCGGTACCCGAAATTGTTCTTTGTAACTTCATAATAAGGGACGCTGGGCTCAGTTCCCAGTACGTGTTCCCCACGAATAGATCAAACAAAAAGAAAAACAAAAAAAAAAGCAAGCATACGTACATAGAGCAAGGGCGTGGAGGGAGATTGTTTTTTTGATAAACCACTCAACACAAGTCCAAAGCTGAAGTGGAGACGCTTTCGACATAAAAAGCCAAAAAAGAAGAGATGATACCAAAAATAGAAGCAATGCTTGAGCCAAGGCAAAACCGACCCTACACTCTTCGTCAACAGTCCATCGCACCCACGCAAAGCCGAGCCTAGCCAAGGAACACCAAACCTGAACAATCCCAGACAAGCAAAAGGAAATCCTAGCCAATCCCAGCCAAACAAAGCCAATCCAGCCACTGCCCACTGCTGATCCCCGCCAAGTATCACCAACCCTGGCCAATCCAGCCAATCCCAACCAGTCAGACCAACCCTGGCCAATCCCAGCCAATGCCAGCCAATCCTAGCCAATGGCAGCCAATCCCAGCCAAGGAAAGGAAAGCCTATTGAATCGAGCTAAGCAAAGCCAATACAGCCAATCCAGCCAATCCCCACCAACCCCAGCCAAAGAGTGCCAACTCTGGCCAGTACCAGTCAATACCAGCCAAGCAAAACCAGTCCAACGAAACCCGAGCCGAGCTCAGCCGAGCTGAGCCGTGTCAAGCCGAGCTGAGCCGAGCCGAGCAAGGCCAAGCCAAGCCAAGCCAAGCGAAGCAATCAAGCAATCAAAACAACAGGGACCTATCGATTCCGTGCAAAGAGGGAAGCATGCACCTCCTGAGATTGGCATCATACATAAAGTGTGGGGCATAGAGAGGAAGGGGATAAAGATGAAGGGGAGGGAAGACACATGGGCCCATAAAGGGCCCGTATGACTCCGTATGACTCGGCACGAGGACGAGGAAGCAGAAGTTACACAATTCACAGCTTGTTGAAAATTTCATAGAGGCCTAAACAAATCTCCCCGGTGATAAGCAAAATGATGATCCACTCCAATGTGTCAGACTTGCGGTTTTGAAGAATATCCAAGAAAAAGCGGACATTGTGCTGGAAATAAGAAAACCCACACCATGACATACACCACCCCAGCATAGAGAGAGAAAAGTGCACGATGATTGGAGCATTATAAAGAGAAAGACCAGAAACAACAACCACCCGTTCTTCCCTACCTTCCCCCTTCCCTCATCCAAATCCACATTCTCCCGCTCCTCTCCACCCCGCCATCCATGACACAGGGGCCCACAACCACCAACCAATGAACTCATCCAAAGACACCCTTGAACGCCCTCGCCAAAACAATTGCACGATCATTAAAACACAGAGAGAGAGAGAGAGAGAGAGAGAGAGAGAGAGAGAGAGAGAGAGAGAGAGAGAGAGAGAGAGAGAGAGAGAGA